TGTTTATTTAATTATTTAAAGAAAAGTCAACTTTTATTTGTTTATTTAATTATTTAATTAAATGTCAATAACATAAGTAAACCTAATAAGTAAACTTTTACAAATATTATAGAAAACATAAACCTAATAAGTAAACCTATTGCTACAATATTAAAATGTCTCATTTCAACCTAATAAGTTACTTAAACCTATTGCTACAATATTAGGTTACTGTCCGATTAATATACCAAATACGTAGGATTTTAATGTAACAAGGATTTGGCTGAAAGAATATACTTAATGAATTAGCCGATAATAATTTCATTTACACTTAATGTTACAAGGATTTGGATTCACATAATACTTGCCTAATTTAAAATATGATTTTAAGGATTTTATATACTTAATGTAAACGAGTAGATATCGAAAAATTGGTCATTTACACTTGGACCAATTTAAAAATTATTCCTTAAATGAAAGAATTTATAGATAATTATTATCTCTACTCAATCACATGATTATTTTCAATATAAAAAGAGACATATTACAAATTAGTGAATCATATATTACCTAATTCAATATCTTGACATTAAGGAATAAATCCCTAGAATTATGTAAATCCGTATCTCATATTATTATATCATTAAGAATATAGTATAGTTATATTATCAAATCATAAAAAGATATTAAATCCATGTTGTAAGAAAAAATAATTCATATAATTTTATAACAATTCTACTACACTATGTAACAGTATTTTTTTTATTATATAATAAAATAATAATTAAATATTATATGGTGAACAATAATAAGTAAAATTGTTACTTTCTCTTATATCAAGGGATAAATTTATATGCTAAAATTAAATTCTTATTAGTATAAATGTTTTAGTGAGAACATATATTAATTATTTTACAAGCTAGCCCTTACATGCTCATATTTAATGTTCTGGCTAAAAAAACAACGTTGGTTAAAAGAAGTGGAAAAAAACTTATAATAGCGTCATATTGTTGTTTAGACTTAACGTTGATTAAAAGAGGTAGAAAATAGATAATAATCCTATTATTTTTTAGACTTAAAAGGACAAGGTTGTGAAAATAACTCATTTAATATCTCTGTCCCGTGCATCGCACGGGGTACGTACTAGTATATTTATAGGAGTGAAAATGAAATTGGCTTTCCATTTGAAAATATAAAATAAAATTTGAGACGATAGCTATAAATTTAATTTAGGTCAAACTGACTCTAATTTATATGGGTGCGTATAAGTCAACTGACACTAATATTACGTTATTTATTTATGGAAGATATATGGGTGGATTATTTTTATATTAATTAATATTGATGTCTAAAAAAATTGTAACTGAAAAAAATCAATTATTGGAGGTATTTTTTTATTGTGCTATTTTCTTTTGATATAACTTTTTAATTTTTGAATTTAGTTTTTTTTGCATATATATCATTAATATTAATAATCTTTTGTGTGATTTGGAAATTATGATATTGTTGGACGTAATGTTATTTGAAAAATCTTCAGATTTATTTGTTTTTTGTGGCTTAAAATATATTTTTTATGGTATTTGTTGAGTTTTATATTTTTTTTTTGTTTTCTATGTCATGAAAAAAAAAAGAAAAAGAAAAAGAAAAAAATATAATAATAAGTTAATTTGTAAATACATATTTTTCTGCAAAAATATATTATTATAAGATTTAAATATTTATAAGGGCAAAAAATTTAAAGTTCAAATATGTAACCAATTGAATCACACACGTCATTATTTCAGAAGTCACAAAAATTATTTAATTAAAAATATATGCTATTGATTGTAGAATAAGTGAAAAATCTTATTGAGAATTAAGTGAAAACAATTGCCTTATATAGTTGAAAATTTATGGGCGAGAAAATGTAGGCTATCTCATTTGGCCGGGAAAACAAAAATCTTATAGAGAATTAAGTGAAAACAACTGACTTATATAGCTGAAAACAACTGCCTTATATAGCTGAAAATGTATAGCTAAAAATTTATATAGCATAGAGAATTAAGTGAAAACAACTGACTTATATAGCTGAAAACAACTGCCTTATATAGCTGAAAATGTATAGCTAAAAATTTATATAGCACAAAATTCATTTGGCCAGGAAAACATAAATCTTATAGAGAATTAAGTGAAAACAATTGCTTATATAGCTGAAAATTTATGGGCGAGAAAATGTAGGCTATCTCATTANTCTCACACACACTCACACAAACCACCAGCACACACACCCCGTATACACACGACTCACACACACACACACACACACACACACACACACACACAGAGCACCATCGTTGCCTGCTCCGTTCTACCGCCATCTACGCCGTCAGTCCGCCGCCCCCGTCAGTCCGCCGCTGCCTCCAGTCCGCGCATCCCGCCCGTAATTCAACGTGAGTCGCTCTCTCTCCGCCATGACCAGCGCCATCGCCTCCATCATTCTCCCTAACCTCTTCCAAAAAATCGTCATGCTCTCCGCTTCCCCGAGGTACCTAATTAATTAATTAATTAATTCATGAATGGGATTGAATAATTAATTAATTTATGATTGGTTAATTATATATATAATTAGGTTTCTCAACATGGCGGATTATTTGGGTGGGTTTGAGCAGGCGGACATGGAGCAATTGCCAGGGGAAATCGAGACCAATTACAAGTTGTGGGTGTTAGGTTTCGCGTCGCTGGTGGTTGGGTGGGATATGGACTCGGTGGCGGTGCAGGAATTCAGCCGGGGAGAGACGTGGGTGTTGATTTGGAAATTAGGGACTCGTGGTTGAGAATTTAATAATTCATAGGGGCTCCATTACAAATTTCAATTTTGTTTATATTCAATTAAGCCCTTGGGCCAAATCTGTAATTTGTAAAAAATAGATAAAAATATTATTTTTTATGTATTTCTTTATACTTATATTATATATTATATATAATATTTTTTTAAGCAAACAATAATATCGTCATTTACTGAGAACCTGTCAAGCTGTATATCTTCATTTATCCACTACACCTATGTTTTGGATGTTTGCTGTATTATGTGCCTTTAAATGATTTTATCTGTCCGAGTGTTCTTCATGAAAGTGATAGAGGCATGAGTTAGAGATATCTTCCAAATGGTTTCATCTTGATATGATTTTTAGACTGAAAGCTACATGCATTTTTAAATTCATCGCGCATGCTGAAAATTGGTGCAAGTTCATGTTTATGTTTCCAAATTGGGTTGTGAATTTCAAAATTAGCTTTTTGTCAATTTTCATGTATATGTGCCCTATGTGACTTAATCTGTTCCGTATTATAATGTAGCTGGAAACACTTGCGAGAGAAGCATTACGCTAGATCTCGAATTGTGGAAGCTATAAGCTGTATATGTGGTCGAACTCGTTTAGGACCGCCGGCACGATTAGCTACCTGAGTAAAAGCTGTCGTAACAACCGACATTGTTAGTCGGAAGGGTCAAGCGAGCTAACCATTCTAATGTTTAGCGATGACCGCCGAGTTAGGATTTCTCCGGGCAGTGATGTCAATGTTCGATTCCTATGGGAAATTGTAGCTTAGTAGTATTTCTTGAACAGTTGTAGTTTGGGAAGTCTTGTAGAGAAACCTTCTCTCATCTGAGTATCTAGGAATCTATGGACCCGGAAATTGAAATTTCTGGTATGTACCTTGAACTGAACACCGAACCTGGATGGGTGTAGCCACGCGAAGTGGTGGCCGAGCCCGCACGCCCGTGGTGAGAGACGTGAGACCAACTGTAGTGGCCGACCGTTGACTCGCACGAGAGCTGCCGCCACCATCACCGGACGCAGGAACTCCCCAGGCCAGTGGGTACGGCCAAACCTTGACCTTGCAGCTGGTCTCCAAACAGGTGCACGCACGCGTCCCAGCGCCCCGCTTATGCAGCGCCAGTGTGTGTGTCATTTCTCGGGTGACAGTGCATTAAACTCCAAACCGACTATGTTCCTTTGGGTCGGTAAATCGTTATTCTTTGTCATGAGTGTTGACCTTTGTAACCGTTGTATGAATTCTCTAATCAACAGCTCTCGATATGTGAGGCTTGTCGATTAGTTTCCTTTGCCATATGCAAGATTCTCTCGAGATGGCGAGATATAGGTCCAGCATTGTTTTAGGCAGTGTCTCGAGTCTCGATTGGAGACTATGTATACTTCGTATGGGTCGAGACCTACGAAGAGTGAGAGGGAAACTGAAATTCGGAGGAGGTGTAAAAATTTCATGTATTGATGTTGTCTCCTCTTATATCTCGTTAGTATCTTGTCGTGGTTTGCTTTTCGAATTCCGAAGACGGAATTCTTTGTAAGGTGGGTAGACTGTAACGCCCCGTTTATTATGGATTATTTAGAATTATTTGTTATTATTATTGATATTATTTATTGTTATTCCTATTATTAATATAATTAATATTATTATTATTTAATGAATGCCTAATTGTAAATTAAATATTTAAATGTCTGAATGTTATTATTATTTATTTAATAAATTGTGTGTCTTATATATATATATATATGTAATATTCGTTTTATTTTAATTTTAATCGTCGAGCCGAACCGAATTAAGATGGCGAATCGATCCCGAGAGAACCGAGGCATTCGGACCGAATTCTAGAAAACCACACGACCCAACCCTTCAGCTCGATGACCCACGCGCGCGACCCATGAACTGGCGCATTGGCCCGACCTGGTTTACCCTTACCTGTGTGTGTGGATATGTGTGTATCTTGGATTGGAGAATCTCTAATCTATTATTTTATCTGATACCTCTCTCTCGCTCACACAGAATGCAAACACAACGCAACCATCTCAAACTTGATTTCGTCTCCCATCCCTCATCCTTCACGCAGAACAGAGGAAGAGCAAATCTGCTCCTTTCAGAAAATCGCCCGCAGTCCAAAATCCCTTATCTCTTTCTCTCGTCAAACCACAGTCATCGTCATCACCCTCCCTCGCTCAAATTCCGATCACCTCTCCTCAACATCTTCATCTCGCCATCACCACCATCACATCGCCGCCAGCAGAAGCTTTTCCCCTCCACGCAGTGCCACCGCGAGCCCTCCGCCCCTTCCGTCGTTGCGCCTCCACCCGACGTGAACCAGCAGGCCGCTGCCCCTTCTCGTGAGGAATCCCGACGGCCCTCTTCCGCGAGCCCTTCTCCTCCGCGTGCGACCATTGTCGGCTGCTCCTCCGCGCGCCACCGCGACCAGCAAATTCTTCCGACGATCTCCCCCACAGACCCTCCTCCGTCGTGACCAGCAGCGACCCCGATGACCCTCCTTCGCGAACGAATAGTTCAGCCGCCGTCCTCAGGCCCCGCTGTCCTCCTTTCGCGAGCCGCGCGCAGCCGTCGAGCGCAATGCCGCCACCGCGAGCCGCCTTTGACGTGTCGTACGTGTCTTTCACCCCGTTTTTCTGAGCTTTTCCCAAGAACGGTACCTAGGCTCGAGCCACGTCTCGTTTATTTTCGTAATATGTGTTAACATAATGTGTTATCTATAATCGTATGTTGATATTGATTTGAATATGTCGAGCCTCGTTATAATTTAAATATGTATCGATCTCTTCGGTTCATGCAAACTCGAACAAGATCAAGTATACATGTGTTAAGTCGCTGTGGCAATTGGAACAACGTGTCTTTGGTCTTAAGTGAAGGCCTCGGACAAATTCGAGTCTTGTTGGGTAGTGCATAAATTATTTGATCTCGTATATTGTTGTTTTGGTTTTTAATTCGTTAAAATTTGTATGCTGCTCGGATTACCATGAAATTTTAAGGGTTATGTCCTCTGTTGAAGATAAGGCTCGTGTAAAAATTTTATTATTTTTCATGGCTTGCTGCTGATTTAATTAATTAAATTGATTTCTGAGCAGAACCGCGTTAATAGCTTAATAAATTGAGTTATCGTTAAAAATTTATGAAATTCGATTATGTTGTGTCTCTGGCTTGTTTACTAGTTGTGCAAAATTTTTTGAATTTTTGGACTCTGTTAGCTTGGGGAAATAAATTATTTTTTGATTTTGCCGAACGTTTTTTTAAATATAATAAATTGATCTCATGCTGAAAAATTCTGATTTTTGGTTGAAGTGCTTATTTTGTGATGTGTTTCATGCATTAAAAATATTAGAATTTTTGGAGTTCATATGGGTTCAGCTTTGATGAAAATTGGAAAACTGCTGAATGTTGTTGCAATTTTATTAATTCGTGTGTTAGGTGTTTAAAGCTGAGATTTTTACTCACTGTTATTCACATGCTGATGTACCTTGGATAAAAATTTAAGAGTTTGAATCGTTCATTCTGTCGGTTTTTAAATTGATGCTCGTTTTTGCTGCAAACTTGCTTGAATTTTTTGAAAATCATGTGCTTTGAATTTGAGGCTGAAACTTGGTGGTTTTTCTAGAGGTGAATTTTGTGTAAAACTTTCAGAGTATAATTCATAGGGGAGCCTGACCAACTTGTTTATGTGATTAAAAACTAGTATTTTCAAATATATGGTTTTTGTATTAAAAACTGTAAATTGACTCTCCTTCGGTTTCTTTGTGTGTTTGACTTGGTAAATCTTTGATAGAGATTATGTTAACTCCTATGCTTGTTTGGTTGAGTCTTAGACCCGAGACTAAGTGTTCCAATGTCCACAGGACTTCACGAACAACTTAGTCAAATCAAGTTCGACTAAGTATAATTGTGATTTCCTTTTTAAGTCAAGATAAGGTGGTTATATTAGTACCTTGACTTAATGTAGGTATTTTGAGGTGTTGACCTCACCCTGCTTTTGAGAATCGTGATTGTGCATTGTCGCTTCGACCAGGTGGGTTCGTTATTCTAAAAATCGCTATGCTGTAAATGTTATAAATGTATTATTTGTGGTATGATCAATGAATGCATGTGAACCACGTAGCCGTCGATATGAGCTGTACCGGCCGTCGAATGGTTGACCCCGTAACTATAGAACGTACCCGATGGGTAGTCTCTTTTATTTATGTATGGCCGCAAGACCGGGGCAGGGGCCATCGGCTGGGATCCCCGTTTGTAAGATCAATTCGTAGGTCTTGGCCGACGGGGTGGATTACTCCTACTGGTTGGGCATCACTGTAAGACCAAGGCATAGGTTTTAGCATTCGAATCGAGAATCAGCAGTAGTCAATGCGTAGGTGTGCACATGAGGGTTGACTCTGGGATAGGAGATGGGATAATTAATTGATTCGTATACATGCTGCGACCATACCTGACTTATTTATGATTACTGTTTTTTTTATTGATTAATGTTTACTGCATAGTGGTGAGTACTATGATTTCCAACTGTGCTCTTCCCCACATGAAATTAACGTTTCAGTTTAAGCAAGGCGGGTACGACGACGGAGTAGTGCGAGTGGTAGACGGTCTATGAGACCGGTTATTTATTATGCTTCCGCTATATTTATGAATATTTATGATTTATGAATTTTCGAACTCTGAGATTTCATGAAATGTTAAGACACTATTGGGAAGATGCCCTGTTGACATTGTTATGTCTTGCAAACTTGAGTTTATTTTGGGAACCCGATTTGGGTGAATTGATGATTTATGGATTTGTGAATCCCGTTTTGGGAGTCAGATGATTTATGTTATGAAATTGATATTGTGTCATGGAAATGATTTGAAATAATTGAGTAACGCCACAAGTGTTAGAAATAAATTTTGAAAAAATTAAACTGATTTTTCTGAAAGTCCGGAATTTCTTTAAAATCAAAGTGGGGCGTTACATTTTCCCAAGTCGATTCCTCTTCCGGTAGCTTGTAAGCGACCAGCCCTTTTAACCATTCAATAATCCAATGCCCGTGTTGGACGTACTATCATAGTGTCTTCATAATTCATCTTTGGCAACCTGGTTTGAATTCCTTGATTTCCTCTCTAGCTTTTCTGTAGTTATGACACGTGAATTACTGAATGAATTTGAGCTTCTGCCGGTAGATCAAGTTGATAGGCCACTTCACCCACACGTTCAATAATTTTATATGGACCATAGAAACGACTTCCCAGCTTGAATAGGGCCTTTTGAGAGATCGTCTGTTGACGATAAGGTCGAAGCTTCAAGTAAACCCAATCACCTGGTTTAAATCGTTCCTTTCGTCTTCCCTTATCATAGTACTCCTTCATTCGGTTGATCGACCTGTATAAGTTGCTTTTGAGCTCCTGAATCATAAGATCTAGCTCTATTAGCTCACGATCCACTTTATCATTCGAGGACTTTCCCAACGGATAACTAACCAATGTAGGTGCCACTCGTCCATAAACCAACTCGAAAAGAGTGAACTTAGTCGAGGCATGGTAAGTTGTGTTATACATCAGCCACGGCAAAAATCCTTCCCACTTTCTCAGAAAATCAAGAACATAGCATCTGAGATATTGTTCAAGGATACGATTGGTTACATCGGTCTGCCCGTCTGTTTGAGGATGATAGGCAAAACTCATAGCCAACTCGGTCCCCTGCATTTTGAAAAACTCCTTCCAAAAACTACTCATGAATATTCGATCCCTGTCCGACACAATGGACCGTGAAATTCCATGCAACTTCACCACATACTCAACAAATAATTTTAGCTATGGATTTAGCCATATATGGATGAGTTATAGGAATGAAATGTGCATACTTGGGTAAGACGATCCATGACCACCATGATCCAGTTGAATCCATTAGACATCGGTAGCCCTTCAATGAAGTCCATGGTTATATCCTCTAATATCCTCTCTGGTACCGGTAAAGGTTGTAAGAATCCACCCAGTTTTCTGTAATCCGACTTCACTCTTTGGTAAACGTCACACTTTGCTACAAACTCCTGAACTTCATTCTTCACCCCAGGCCAATAGAAGGTAGTTGATAGCCTTGCCCACGTACGATGAACTCCTGAGTGTCCCCCAGTCTTCGATTCGTGAAAATATTGCACAATGTCATGCCTCAATCGATCAGTTTCCGGTACATACACGCGACCTTTATATAGTAACAAGCCGCCATAGACATCATAATCGTGAACCTCCTCCTCTTGAGCTTCCATTTTCCTACGAACATCATTACAAAAGGTATCTTGAGTATTTGCCTCTCGTAATTGATTCCACATAGTCCATGTTGGTCCAGAAATGGCTTGAAGTTCGGCCACGACGGTACGACGAGATAATTCATCCGCCACCGAGTATTGTCGACCCGGTCTATAACAAATCTCAAAGTCAAATCCCATGAGCTTTGACACGAAATTTTGTTGCTCCGGAGTGACAATCCGTTGTTCCAACAAATGTTTAAGTAGTTGTCGGTCCGTTACTATCCTTAAATGACGCCCAAGAAGATAAGGCCTCCAAACCCGGACCGCTTCTACCACCGGTTCTAATTCTTTCACATAGACAGACCATCCCATTAGTATACTTTCCAAAGCCTTGCTTATATAAGCGATAGGTCGGTCTTCTTGTGTGAGGACGAGTCCAATTCCCACATCACTAGCATCCTTATGTACCTTAAACAACATTTCAAAGGTAGGCATGTCCAATACCAGAGTTGTTGACATAGCTTCCTTAAGTTTTTTGAATGTCCCCTTACTCTTAGCCGAACATTTTTAATCTTTCACCATTGGCAACCCTCACTTCAAAAGGCTCAACTTTGATAACATGCAATTTTAACTTATCGGACAACAGTGAATTAATAAAGTCATGAGACGAACCGTTGTCGATTATCACAATTCCACGTCGATCACGAACCCATGCTGGCATTTCATTGTCTTAGGTTTTTGAGTCCTCGCCATTGCATGAACTGATATCTCTGGATCCTCCTCATGAAATTTAATTTCACTTTTCGGCTCATTCCCTCCTAGCTCATCTTCATAAGAATCAACGCATTCAATTAGAAACGATCGCCTTTCTTTGCACCGATGCCCCGATGTGAATTTCTCGTCATAATTAAAACACAAGCCTTTTTCTCTTCGTCTTTGCATCTCTTCCCAAGATAAACATTTGACTTCAAAAGGAATTTCTTGCCATTGCCGGTCGATGTTTTGATCCCAGTTCTATATCCATTTGAACGAAAAGGTGTTGGTCGTCTCACCTCCGGCCGATTGACCTTACGCATTGCCGACAAATGATCATCACTTATTCGAGCGGCCTCAATCGCAGCTCGCAGCTGCCAAATCAGGCTTCAATTCACCAATGAATGCACCGACAAGTGCACCCTCCAGCCAATCACGCACCTGACTTGCAATTCTTTCAAATTCTTTTTGCTATTCACATAAAGCCCCCGTTTGTTTAATATGTGATAGAGATTCATCATGATCATAATAATCCAAAGTTCCAAACCTGATAAGTAACTCCTTTTCGAAGTTCCTCCAATGAATCCGCTTGTCTTCCTTTTTGTATACCCTCGATAACCATTGCCACCACACATTCGCTTCATCGTCGAGATAATAAGCGGCATATTTCATTCTCTCCAACTTGGGAATCTCGTGAATCTCAAAATATTGACAATCACGATTAATCCATGAATCTGGATCCGTTCCATTAAAGGTAGGGAGCATCAACTTCGGCCTTTCAACCCGTTGCCTTCCACGATTGTTCGACCCCCCTGATCGATTGTCTTCATCCGCTGCAAATTCGTTTTGAAATTCACGATCTCCCTCGGATTCGGCTGAACCCTCTGATGAAGAATCATAATGGTTGCCTCTCCTTGCTCGTCGTCCAACCGTTTGAAGCACCATCCTCTCGAGCCTTGCTATCGTCTGATTCGTGGATTGAATGTCTTCACTCATCGCTCGCATGCTCTCATCCATATTGTCCATCCTTTCTCGATTCGTCATGATGATACACGATTAGTAACTCTCAATGCAAGCACCAATGTTACGAATCGTGTATCGAGTATCGAATTTTGTATCAAAACCCGCACTACGGATTTGTGCTCGGAAACGAGCGTTTCTTAATTTAGTGGCAAAAGATAAAGATAGTTTGTAAAATGATCTGAAAACAACATTAAATAACCCTACTAACCTCCCTAAACCAAATTGAAAACGAAAAGAAAACTGAAAATGAATTGCTCCCGCCTAGACCCTAGCTGCTCTAGGGGGGGGGGTGTTAGCGCCGCTAACCCTTATAAGGCAGAAGGCTCAATCATCTGCTTAAGGGGTTAGCGGCGCTAGCCTCTGGACAACTTCCATCTTGTTGTCCCTTGATCCGTGCACATCGAGCCCGATTATATGCTTTCTTTAACTGACAATCCTCATCCACATCAAAAACCCAAAGATTGTGGGCCTTCCAGAGCCACCAAAGTATGTATACTGTAAGCTGGATTCTGTGGTCTGCAGTAACACTTTTCTTTAAGGAGCTAAGCTTTGTCCACCACTATTTGAAACAGAAGGTACAGTCTTCTAATCCATCCCAGGTAATTGCAACCATTTTCAACACTGTATTGGCAATTGCACAATGGAACAGGAGGTGTTCAAAGGTTTCAGTGCCATCCCCACAGATCTTCCAAATGGTGGTCAATAATTTTTTGCATATTCTATTTGTGATTTTTTACCATATTCTAGATGTGATCTTTATGGATAGATGTTCACTTGCTACCATACTAGTTTGCGATATATTAATCCTTATATATATTTCTCGAATGCGTTGAGCTTAAGTGGAAGATTTGCACGCTTCGAAATCATATGTTGCAAAAAATCATGCTTCGGTGCTAGACTTTGATACAAATTAATATTTTTTTATATAAAAAATTAGGCTTGGATTGCATCAAATCTCTATATTATTAAATATGTGATGGGCATTCCTTTTTTTTTTTTCTATAAACTATTTCATTTTCTTTTTGTGATATATTATATTTCATTTTCTTATTTAATCTACACATCATTAACTATAAATGTGCCTTCTTCTGGTTTTTTTAACATTTTATAACTTTTTTTGTTTGTATATTTGTTTTTTTCATATATCACCCTGTATATAATTCTCGAATGCGTTGAACTTAAGTGATAGGCTATCACACTTTGAAATCCTATGTGGCAAAACACTATGCTTTAGAGCAAGACTTGAATACAAACTAATATTTTTATCCAAAAAAATTAGGCTTGTGATGTACAAATATGCCTTGAACCGGATGGGACCGGAACACCACTAACGAACATCAACTTCGAGCTCCGGTGACATGATCCTCGCGGAAAACCTTCAGTATCTACTCTTGAGAAAAACTAAGAATATGTATGCTTAATGTATGGGTATGCATTATATTTAAAATAAGAACCTGGTCGCCCTTATATCATACGGTGTCTTGATGCCCAAGAGAGTCCTAGTTAAGAAAGAGATCTCCCTATATCTCCTTTCCTAGCTTACCACGTCTCTCGAATCTGGGTCTCCTTAGCAATATACACTTTTCATCCTCAAAGTATTTTTTTCCCCTCTCTCTGTACGGCTCTTAGGTCACCCAGTCAACCTTACCGCGTATCTGTCGTGCTCTACAGCTAGGTCTTAACCACGACCTCCACCTCTATGACCTCTGGGTCATGAGGTCTTATTCAGTATCTGAGCTCTTGAGGTTCTCGATCTCTGATCTCCTTGACTTGGCCCAACCTGGACCTTGAGCCATCTAAGTGGACTCCTTGAGAAAGTTGTATGCTAAAATCGAGCTAAGCTTCTTTGAACCGGCCACCACCGAGCAAACCGCTTAGGCCAATTCATCGAGTTATTCTGGGTGCTATATCATCTAGCCCCTCAATTCTTGAACGAGCTCCTTGACTATGCAAGAATGATTCACTACACCCGAGCATCCTTTCTGTATTAAATGCCGTGAATTACAGGATCTAGGGATCTGTTCCTATCAGAAACGTCGTTTCAAAAACTGTAGCATGCTCCCCTTGCTATGCGTTGTGGATTTACTTTCAAACTAATGCTCAAGATTGTCAGACCAGTTGGACACTCCCCGTAACCCTTCGGTCCGCCATGTGGAACTGGTGGGATCTGGTGAAGTCGACCCGCCTATCAACCATGATGGAACAGCTAATAGCTTTTTCCCATTTCCCAATTTTTGTAAGGTCGTGATGATTGTCCAAACATTTAACTCCATTTAATCGTCTTTTGAAGTTTAATTAGTTGTTACTCGTACATTTACGCGGAAAGCTATATGGTTAAAAATCAAAACGATAAAAAATATAAATTATTGTAAAAATTATAACATAATCATTGAAAAAAACGTTTTAAGAAAGAAAATCTAAATATAATTAAACATTTCTTTATATATAACGTTCGTGGTTTTTCGAAGCCCAATTTGATTTCTTAAGGTAGCCAAATATAAGTGTTTAGTAAGAGAATGTTTTAAATAAAGCTGCAGCCCATTGCTTCTTTGT